TTCGACCTCTCTTGAGAACCAAGGCTCCCTCACTCGACTGCATCTTCCTTCCCTGCTAGGGGCAAACATATTAAGCACACGCAGCATGCATTCCTTAAACAATCTCTACATTTCCATAGTGCTCTTCCCTGACAGCATCTGGTTCCATTTTATGTCCCCCAGTTCTTGCCTAACAGAATTATAATTACCCTTCTCCCAATGATAAACCTTACCCTGCTGTATGTACCTATCCTTTTCCATGACTATTGTAAAAGTAACAGAGTTATGATTGCTACCGCCAAAATGCTCTCCTACTAACAGGTCTGACACTTGGCCCGGTTCATTGTTAAGCACCAAATCCAAAGTGGCCTCTCCTTGTGTTGGTATATTGTAGCTCAAAAGGGAGTACCTGCATTTGGAGGTAGTTACCACTCAATGATACAATCATTAACACAATTGGCAAGGAGGGAAACATATTGGAGAAGTATCCTCAAGACAGATACAGATAAAGAGAGCTGGAGAAATTTTGAGTCCGTGAATAATGTTATTTTACTCTTATTGGGTGAAGTGATCTGTGGACGGGGAACTGAAGGATTAAAAAAAACAGAAATTAAGAAACCTGAATCTGGAATACACTGAATTTTAAAGCAAATTATGTAAATAGATTAGCTGAAAAAAAATTTAGACAATATTCTGGTCACCTCAGTCAGGTGACACATATTGCTGGTTCTATCACTTCCTTGACGATATGTCAGGGGTGGAATATATAATTAAGTGTTGGTCCCCAAAGGCCACTGCGATCATTAATTTGGTGATACACTCTATTGTTGTTTTCTTTGTATTGATGCTAGTTATTTTCATTGTAGTTTTAATATTCTAGTGTAGGTTACACACTCTCCTCATATGTTCTTGCCCAGCTATTGCTGATTTTTGTTTGCATCTGCAATTGTAACATGTGCTGTCGGATATCATCAGGGTGGAAGGCAGAGGATGGGCAGAAGGACTAAAAATTAATGATGATACTCAACAGCTGCATGACCTTGAATGTGTCATGTGGATATTCCTTTATGGGCTGAAGATAGCACCAGCAGCTTGTTTTCCTACAACTGTGTTTTCTGTACCAGCCAACAGTTTTGTCTTTCTGTATCTGCTTTCTTTATGCTGGCTGTTTGTTACACCATATAAGAGAGAGAGAGTTTTGTTCTAAGTCGCTGGACTTTGCCTCGACTCAGAATCATGAATTGTGCCAGGAACGAACATAAGCCTCCAGACCAGCCATCGACTGAGGGATCCCTGATGGGCAGAAGGGCGTGAGACTTGCTGCTTTTTCTCTTTTCCATTTATTATTACCACTATAATCATTATAATTACTTAATAAACATTTATATTTAAACAAATTGCTGTTGTGGAGCCTTCTCTCAATTATATTTAACCAAATCCAAATGAACCGCTTGGATGCATGCAGTGATCTAAAACAAGCTGTGACAACCTTATTTTAATGTATTTGTATCTCAGTATATCCCCAATTTGCCGTATTTATATGCTATTTCTAATTCTCTCCTTCACTGATAAACTCTGGTGCAAATTTCCAGCATGTAAGTCTGAATGGGTACCTGGCAGCTTCAGCTTATCAAATGCTTGCCCAACTGCTTCTTCAGACAATATCCCTGTATGCTCCATGGCCACATCCTCTTTGATCCTTCATTCATACAAGTTGGCATCAGCGAGCCACCAACCTCACCACATTATCCTGCCTGCTCCCAGACTGATTCAACCACTGCTACACTCCGTCAACACTTTACATTGGGGCTCAGGAGCACCCATGACTTCCCCAATTCTGCCATAGTGCCCTGTTCACAGCGATACACAGCATCTCATGCTATCTTCATGGGATGTACCTTACGGCTCTTGGTTCTTGGCTCTTAGTTTAATATCTTGGCATTTACTCAGTTTATCAAATACTTGGAGGCTGCTTTCTTAGTTCATTCTTCAGCACTAGCTTACAGGCTGCCTCTTTGTGGCTTGCATCCCTTTCTTAGCACACTGGATTTTTTGTATTAATTACAGGTTGCCAGCCTATGTGGTTGTGTTCAATCTATGGGTTTACATGCTGAGTAAGCGCTGGCCTCATGTAAGTGAAGTAGCAGAGAGTGGCACTTGCCCTTGCAGTACACAAATGACATTTGACCTTCTTTCCACATTTTTTCACATCTTGCTTCACCTAGGACACAGCAGTAAGCCAGACTTCAGTCTGTGCCCAGGCTGGTTTGGTGTAGTGGTGTGGCCTCTGTGGGGATCAGATAGAAAAGAATTGACCTCTTCTCCATCAACCTGTTCACCAACACCTCCAGGACCCATCCATAAAGTGGGAAATGGGTTTTCTCTTCCTCTGGGCCATGTGTTCTCGAAAAATGGTCAAGCACCATGCTGCAATGAGAATGCAGTTTCTGGCTTGTAGCATCTAAAATGGTGTGCAGCTAGGCGTTAAATGTAATGCAAGAGGCTTGAATGCTGGAAAGTTTTGGCAGTGACGAGCACTCACCCCTTTCCAGCCATGTGATTCCCTGTGAAAGGCACCCAAGACTTCAGATGCATAATGAACGAAGTGAAGAGTAGAAGGCTGCGTGAGAAAAATGACTCCAAGTCATGGCAGACCAAGCAACATGAATCTCACTCAATAAAATCTTTAACTGCAAATAGGAATATTCCATCAACTTTATAGGAGAAGCTCTAACAGCATAAGTGCAGTCACATCTTCATTTTTATCTATGGTTCTTTGTTGAGCCATATAGAAGGCTTTTTGGATTTAGTTCTTCCGGGCAAAGACATAAGTCAATTTATTCTTTACCATCCTGTGACAACCCAGTCTCACAGTTAGACTTGAAGTGTCATAAGCAAGGAATGCATTGTATAAAATATCTGAATTGTAAGAATGGGATACTGACGTCTCTTTTTCTTAGCAGTCCCAAGATAGTAAAAGTCGTGCAAATCCAGTAAACAAGAGGACTAATAACTCATGACCACCATAATTGTACACAAAAGTTAGATTATGTTCTACCTGCAGACTTTCGAATCTCACTGATTCTGCACATTTTGATTGCTTTTCTGTAAGTAAGTTTCTCCTCTCTCAGTAGACATTCTCTTTCTTTGTGATCTGTTGTGCCCAACATTCCATCAAAACTATGCTGATGCATATGTGTGCATCTTCTCCAGGGCTGTACACACAGCGATTGGCATCAACAGGACAATTGCAGCATTAACTTCTAGTTCCAGAAGTCACTACTGCACATGGATCTTGGAGGCTCAGGCAGCCATAAAGAATATTAGAGGGAACACTAATACAATCTTGTCTTTAATTAGATCTTTTTGTTGGGTAAATTTGCAGGATTCTGTGAATGCAGGTGCATATTGAAGAATAAACTCCTTTTCACCTTAAACCCTAATATTGAACACACACCTTTCATAAGTTACATTCACTTGGGTTTCAATCTGCAGCTTGGTGTGTCTTCTGCAGCTTGGTGTTTTTTTTATTCTTCAGAGAGATTTAGGGTGAAATACACTTTGAAATAGTCTCTCCCTAGCATTGATAAATGCATGGCTACTTGTAGCTGCTTTAATTTGTTAATTGATACGATCTCAGTTTCATTGTTTTGCTCATGTGAAAGAAAAAAACTTAATAGTTTTGTTCTACATCGCCTTTCATTCCAGCCAGTGCCAGAAGAAGGAAAATTTGCAGCCATTATTTTTTTAACCAGTGCTATCAGCAGTGGCCTGCTTCTTTATTCCTTTTCTGTGATTTATTGTGTCTTCAGTGGCTCTGAATATTCTGTGTTCCTCTTTTATTAGCTTTGCTTCAATACAGCACTTCAAGGTTCAACCTCAGTTCCACTCTGACACGATGTTACAAGCTCAAAGGGCAACAATTTGTTTGTACTGTTTCTTTATTGAACTGACTGTAAGACAGATGACTGCAGCAAGTGCCTCATGATAATAATCATATGTTGAGAGCAAGCCAGGAAGCCCATTAGGACAACATTGCATTTTTTATCTCAAACACTCGGTGATAAAGCAGCATGAAATAACAACTGTTCAGTTAAAACACAAGATCAACAAACTTCACAGCTGGAGAGACAAGACAACAGCTAAACAGGCTGTACTGAGTTTTCTCATGTATTATCTTAACAGCTCAAAAAACTTTGAACTGCCTTTAACTTTTTGTTGTGACCTTAACCTCTCCACCACTCCATTGATGTTTGTGTGTGTTTGGTGTCACTTTTTTTTCCCCTTTTACTCAAGAAAACCTTGGGATTGTCACCTTCAATTTCATTTTTGTAATCAAGTTTTGATTGAAGGGTGATAGTTGTGTGCAAAACTAAAATATTTGCTGCAATCGACTGAGAGAGGTTTATATCGACAGGGGCCAATCAATTCTCCTCACCTGTGAATGAAAATATGACACTACATCACTTCAGTGAAAATAAAAATCAGTAGAAATGTAAACTGGGCTGCTGACAATTTTCTCTCATTTTATATTATCATAAAAATCTACGCTGTAGAGTGAACATAGATGAAAATGAAGTGTGGCCCTGACACTTCCCCCATCTGTCCCTGCAGTGTTCAGTCAGAATGCGCTTTTGTAAGGTTACTTTCCATACCTACCCACAGATTACATCTGGTCTACATTAAGTTATACCAATCATTACTTCAGTGGTGGGGGTGCTTGTGATGCAGTGGTGGGTGTCCTTAACTCTGAGCCGGGGGATCTGGGTTCAAGTCCCATCTGCTACAGGGATGTCTAATAACATGCATGAAGAGTTTGTTTAGAAACTATCATTGCTTTGATAGATACAGGAATAAGTTGGTCCTGGAAACAGTCTTGTTATTAGCCCTACAGACCACCAGTGGGCACTGATTATCTTCAATTGACATAAAAGTCGTGCCAGTCATCACCATGAAAATCAGAACCTGACCAGATCTGCTTTCTTATCATTAAATTTAACCGAAACTTGTGACATCTTAGAAAAAGGCAAAAGTAGTTTATTAAGGCAACATCAAGTAAATAAAGCAGCACAGTGACCTTGCTGTAAATAATAAACAGAACACTTTTCTTAAACAAAAGAATGGATGTATTTTCAGAAGCAGTGCATACCTAACTATTTTAAATTAGCAACGCATTATGAATATAATTTTGCCTCATCTTACAGAATAATAGCCATAGTTTAAAAGTGTTGATGACCATTATAGTGTATTAGTAATTATATTGTTTCCTCTATTGTTAACTATTAAAGAGTGGGGACATGGGCCAGAGACACCTATTGAAAAGAAGTGACAAAGTGTATGAGATGGGAAGGCATAAAGGACAGCAAGAAGTGTGTTGGAAGAACCTAGGGTGAAGATGACAAAGTTAGGAACTTAAATTTTATTGACTGGCAGGAGCAGAAATGGGCGACTAATTTGAAGAAGGAAAGATAGCAGTCTTACTTACATTGGGATGTGGAAGAGGGAGCTGCAAATAGTATCCAAAATAAAATCCTATACGCTAAGATTAGGTCTATGGTGGATGCTGGGGTGATCAATGGAATCAACGTGAATCATAGCTGTTTTGGAATGTCTATATAATCTCTTTAGTTTTACTGCTGCTGACATCAAACTGCTGCTAGTTATGGCTCATTCAGAATTTTGTGCAGGATAGTTGCTGGACAAAGCGGTATCATTGATGGAAAGAGTAAATATGGAATTACAAGCATCTCTGGCATACATGTGGAAACTGATTTCATGCTTCCATTGATGTCTTTAAGAATCCGGATGCAAATGATAAAGAGGATAGCAAGGATACTATAAATGAAAATGCAGCCAGGAGAGAAGAGGTCACCTAATATGAAGTAGTGTCAATGACACAACAGATGTGAAAGAACCAGGAGAGAAACAGAGGCAAGTTGAAGAAGGTGGAATTGATGATGCAGTGACATTAATTTAGAGTGAAGGTGAATAATGCAGGTGGGCAATGTTTGGTAATGTGAATTGTAATTTGAAGATGGAAGATCTGGAAGGACATTTAAATCAAAAGTGTGAAGTTACTGATGTTACAGGCATGGTACTGAAAATGAGAAGTTTAGAGTTGAAGTGAAGAGGAATTAGCTGGTAATCTTAAAGGACAATATATATATTTTGTGATGGTGGGTGGGTGAGTGTCAAAATGTGCAATATGCACATCATGAGTGATCAGATGGAGAAGTGGTTTGGGCAGTGCACATGGGAGAGAAATGTTTTAATTTTAAGCACATTGAAAGAAGTTCCTGAGCACCTCCGAATGACAGTAGCAGCTAGAGGAAAAAAATTGACAGTTTATTATCAAAAAGGGAGATGAGAATTTTAGACTTATTCTTTGTCTTCAGTTTAGCTTAGTTCCATAATAACTTGACCATGAAAGCTTAAGTGGTCAAGACATACTTGAGGATGAATGGCCAAGAAAATACATTGGAATTTGTAGCCTACCTGATTATGTATTGGGCATCATGCAAATAAAAATGGCTTAATTGGATTCAACTGAATTCTGCAATTGTATTGTATTTTGAGTTATTGTTTGCTGCTATTGCATTTCTTAAGCAATGCCAGAAAAAGTCTTCAGAATTAGGATTTTTAGGCCAATATAACACTGAGCTGCGACATAACCGCTTCCTTAATTTCAGATACTTTGAGTTTATTAAAACAGGTTCCAATAGGATCAGCACAATTACATCTTCATTTTTATCCATTAATCTTTGGTGAGCCATATAAAAGGCTGTTTTGAAACTTCCACTCTTGACATACCTCCTTGTAAGCACGAACACAGTCTTTTTGCTCTTGTGTATGCTTTGAGAAAGATTCTCAACAACAGGCATTCCTAATTCCCAATCTCTCTCTTCCAAACAGAGGCAAAGTTGCCTTTCATCTTTATCTTCCAAATGAACCAATAATTCATTGACAATCCAGTCTGTCACAGCAAGATCTGAAGTGTCATAAGCAACAAACGCATCGTAGGAGCAGCTCTGCACTTTAAACGTGTGATACTGATACTGTTTCAACCTAGAAGCACAGAAATTGTACAAGTACCATACATCCCAGTAAAACAAATGATGGGTCACTGCTATAAACGTTGTGCAAAAAATGATGATGGCAGAAGCCAAACTTAGTGAAGCTGCAACATCATCCATTGCACATGTGTGCCGATCAAGGAGAATAATGCTCTGTCCTCGTTGACTTTCAGGTGATCCACAGGTAACATCAGTGGCCAGCTGAGGAATGTCCAGATCACATGTATTAATCCAGGCAATAAATGGCACAAGTTCACAAATGCAATAAAACGGGTTCCCTTTTAAAACCAGAACTTCCAGGAAAAGTTGTTCACTTCTTGGAAAAACTGTCTGCTGTAACATATGAATTTTATTATAACTTAAATCAAGATACTTAACTCTGTTTGCTGATGTAAGGAAGCTTATGGGGAGTTGAGAGATTCTATTTTGTTTCAGCAACAGTTTTTGGAGGGACTTGGTGCTATTGTACAGCCTATCAGGGGCAATAGTTAAGTAATTGTAGCTCAGGTCTAAAGTCAGCAGGTTCTTCAAAAAGCGAAGTGGTGGCCAACTAAACTTTCTTAATTTGTTGTGACTCAAAGACAAGTATGATAAATTATATGGTAAATTTTCATAAATTTCAGATGGGATGCACTCAAGTTTGTTGTATGATAAATCGAGATGGGTCAAGTTTATTAGATTTTTAAATAAGCTTATATATCTATAATCCTCCCTTTTCCACAAAATATCCAGCCGATTTCCATGGAATTTCAAAACTTCCAAAGAGGTACTGTTCAATCCTTTTTCTGTTAGGGTGAAGATGGCATTGTAGCCTAAATTTAACTTTTTCAAATATTTAAGGTTTTCAATAAATCCCATTTTATGTGTCACACCCTCAACAACAAAATAGTGCGGGTTGTAGCTTAAGTCCAACACTTCCAGTTGCCACAGTTCTTTAAAAGCGTTATCATAAGCTGGATCAAGTCGATTATGAGAAAGATCTAAATATTTCAAATTCGACAAGGATGCAAACTCAGTCCCATTTAAAGCTTGCCCAATTGCATTTGATGACAAATTCAGGCACCTTATTTTCTCAAGGCCTTTGAACTGCTTTGGGCTGATGAAGAAAATACTATTCAAACTCAAATCCAAAGTCATCCCATACGAATGACAATCCCTCTTCATGTTTGGCCCAAAGATATAGTCATCATCATTATTAAGAGATTCATGTCCAAGGTGGCTATCCCAAGGTAGTAAATTTGATTTTTGTAAACTTGATTCCACATATGGGAGAGATTTACCTTTATATGTAGAATCATGTAGAAGATTTCTGTTGACTGATGGAGGTGATATTCTATTTTCTGAAAGATCTATTATCTTTAGCGATTTGATGTTTTTGAAGATTGTTAAGTTTGCCTGTTTAATGAAATTTGTTCCAAGATTGAGAACGGTAAGATTGTGGAGATGGCGCAATGGTTTTAGATCCTGGTAATCGAGTTCTTTGAAAACATAACCTTTAATATTTAATTCTGTCAAAGAGACTAATTTAGAAAAATTTTTTGAAAGATTGATATTTTTGAAATAATGAGTTATTTTATAGTTGAATGATAAGTCAATTTTTTCTAGCCTGGGTAGGTGGTTTAAAAAGTCTCCAGTAGCAATTTCATCAATCAAGAAATTCATTTGAAGATATAAAACCTTCAAGCTTGTACAATTCTGAAACCAGCTACTTTGTATTTTACGGAGGCTGTTGCTGGAAAGAATTAATGTCTGTAACTTTGGAAGCCTTTGAAAAGCATCTGGATGGATGTGAATGGAACTATCTCCAGGGCAGCGTTCACATGGGAAAGGAGCATTAAAACATCTGGGGCAGTTTTCAGATAAGTCAAGGAATTCCAGATCAATCAGACGTTCAAAATGATCATGGTTTATAATTTGAATCTTGTTTTTATTGAGATATAATGAACTTAGTGTTTCTGGCAAGTTTCGAGGAACAGAAGTTAAATTATTTGAGCCAAGTGATAGATTTTTCAGTTTGTTGCCACTTGAAAATGCCCCATCATGTATATAGTTGGACACCTTGCAGGGATTGTGATAGTAACAATTTTGCGACAAGTGAAGTGTTTCTATGTTTGACAAATTGGGTAGGTCCTCTTTTGTTATATTTAGAATCTTATTGCCTTTGAGGCTGAGCAGTTGTAAACTAAATGAGAGTTTCTTTGGGATTCGTTTAAGGTGGTTTTGATCCAGGTATAATTCTTGCAGTTTTATCAGAGAGGAGAAGCTGTCCTCTGCAATATTCATGTTCTTCCCAGGTGAAACGTTCTGACTCAAATCTAGTTTGGTCAGGTTTTGTAAGTTGGAGAACTGGTAACTGGAAATATTTGAAATCTGATTATTTGCCAGATTTAGACTTGTTGCATTTGCAGGAATGTTTGCTGGTATGCTTCGAAGCCGGCTGTTTCTGCAGTCTACTTGAATTGAGTAGCCATTATTCTGTATACTCACATCACATGGGAGGCTTCTGGGAATCCAGCTGCGTGTGAGCGGTACAACAATTTTGAGTAGAAAGAGGAAGCACAGTAAAATTAGTGCTGAAGCTGATGTTGGTTTGACCTAAAGAAATATTTTAAAATAAGTCAAAACAGGAAGTTGACGTTATTAATCATTTTCTATGTACAAATACAACACTTTTCAATTAAAATGTGCTAATTTCTCTTCATGATTCACAAATTTCTCACACATAAAATATAGACACAGGGCTGAATGCCAGAAAAATTGGCTAAATGTCACTTTCTGGGTGTTTTTGTTCATGAACCCTAATATGTTTTCTCATGCTGTTTTATACTGTTCACCTTGTTACATACACACCATGCCTCTATGACCTCTCTTGCACTCGTGCTATCATGCAATCATCAACAGTAGAAGCAATCACCATTGCTGGAACCTCCAGAGATTTCTGGGGCTGACACCATGTTTAAAACTCTGTCGTGGACTGGGTCAATCACAGCCAGCCTGGAACTGCCTGTCACATTGCACGTAGTGGGAGGGGAATGAATACAAAAAGCTTTTGAGGGTGCATAGTTGGCAAGGAGGCACGTCATTGGAAACCCAAGCTCAAATTCATAAATGTACTCTTTGATCGACAGTCATTGTAACTGCAATAAAGACCAAGTTCCACAGACTACCTATTCTTCATGTCGTGCCACGTTAGAACACTGTCTAAGGGAATGATGGCCTTTCTTTATCGCACAGTGTGGCATAACAACTTCTCATTGTTCAATGTAGGAGCATTGCATGCTGGAAAGACTTCAAAAGTTTGAAATTGTTAACTTTCTTGAGCAACAGCAAAAACAAAATGAATAAAATAACAACAAAAAAGGCTGCATTTGCTCTGAAAACAAACAGGGATACTCCTCTTTTGAGCAACTAGAAACCATCCAATTCCTGGTCATTAGCAATCTTCACCATGTCACTGGTCATTACAGATTGAAAATAGTCATCTCTGAAGCTGAAGTATTCACAGGCAACCTTCAAAAGGGCATTTGCCCCTTGTAACACTCTTTCACAATTATTGCCCCATCTGCGTTCCATCATGTTGCTTCCAATACCTACAACTGACTTCCCAAATTTGCTCATCACAGCAATGGACCTGATGGCCCACTCCTCAGCCTACTTGGATGAGTAGCTCTGACTGATCAGTGACCAGCAAATCCCCTGTACTATTTGTGCTGGACCTGTAGGACTGACTATGGTCCAGCGCCCAGACAGCGGTGATAAATAACCTTTGACTCTGACAACCCCAAGCAGCCAACTGACCATGTCCAAGCCCCTGAACTGACAAAGGAGAATGGCTGATTAAGGCAGGACTATCAACTGACAACAGTCCCCTGTGACTTAACAGAGAACTACTCCCCTAGACTTTGAGACATGGCTGTTTGGTTGAAGCGCATGTGGTATGTTTGTCATGTACACTGGTGGCACACGGTGCAGGTGTGAGATTCACGTTGCACACCCCTTTGACTGATCACTGCTGAAATCTATGACAAGCTGCCTGACATTGCACCTGTGCTAAACTGAAGGGCAACTTATATGTGGTGATGTTCCCACGTACCTGCTGCCCTTGTCTTTCTAGATGGAAGCGGTCACAGGTTTGGAAAGTGCTAAGGAAATTTGGTAGATTTCTGCTGTCCATCTGGTAGATAGTACACACTGCAGCTACTGAGCATCTGTGGTGGAGGGAGTGGATGCTTGTGAATGTGGTGCCAATCAAGCAGGCTTCTTTGTCCTGGACAGTGTCAAGCCTCTTGAGTGTTGTTGGAGCTGCACTCATCCAGGCAAGTCGGGAGTATTCCATCACACTCCTGATTTGTGCCTTGTAGATGGTGGACAGGTTTTGGGGATTCAGAAGGTGAGTTAATCACTGCAGTATTTCTACCTTCTGATCTGCTGTTGTCATCACTGTGTTTATGCAGTGAAACTAGTTCAGTTTCTGGTCAATGGTAACCCTAAGATGTTGATAGTAGATGATTCAGTGATGGTAATATCATTGAATGTCATAAATGTTCGATTATCTCTTCTTGGTGATAGTCATAGCCTGGCATTTGAATGGCATGAATGTTACTTGCCACTTGTCAGCCCAAGATTGGATGATGTTCAAATTTTGTTGCATTTGAGCATAGACTGCTTCATTATCTGAGTGATCCCATAGAGGTGTCACTCTGAGCAGGCCCTCGACTATGTATATGATTTGTCTTTAAATAAAACGTTGTTAATATTCACATAGACTATTGTAGAGTCACCTAAGAGGCAACCAGATGCCTGATAACTCAATCCAAAGAGGAAATACATATCTACACTATTTCACATATATTTATATATTTCAATGTTATTTATTTGTAACTAAATCAGTATATCATGTGCATAGACAGAAATTAATATCATTGTATATTTAAAATTCATTATTTCATCATTGAATATAGACATGAACACAAGATTGTGAAACATATTTTTCACAGCATCACATAAAAAATTCTCACTACATTGCCTATCTAAATTTTCCAAATTTATTTTGCAAACAAAAGAAAAATATATAGCAAGTGTAGCAAACTGCTGTTAACTGGTTGTTCTGAAGTAATATTCAAGAGATAGTAAATATTGAATGTCATGTTTCTTCTGTAGATGAAATCATAAATTACTCCTGAATCTTTCATATAATAAGCTCAGAGACAATCATTTAAAATCTGGTCAAATTTGCAAAGTGAAATCTACATCCCCAGGATATTATAGTCTACCTCCCAGAATAACTATGGATATATTGAGCTCTTTCCAAAATTTGTTAGATTTTGGAATGATTTCTCCAGATTGGAGGTTTGTAAATGTCATCCCACTATTTAAGATAGGAACAAGGGAACATCTAAAATCAATCTAAATAATCATAAAGGATGTGATAGATGGACACTTCGATAACAGTGATCAGGTTGTGCAGAGTCAGCACCAAGTTGTGAATGGAAAATCATGTTTGGCAAACTTGCTGGACTTTTTTGAGATGCTACTAAGAAAAATTGATAAAGGGAAGAATCAATGGATGAAGTAAATTTGGATTTTCAGAAGGCTTTTGACAGGATTCCCCCACATGAGGTTGGTTAGCAAAATTAAAACACTCAGGATAGCAGATAATGTCTGGTATGGATTAAAGATTGGCTAAAAGACAAAAAACTGAGTAGTAGGAATAAATGGATCATTCTCACATTGACAAGTTGTGGCTAGTGGGTTACAGCAAGGATCAGTATTTAGACCCAGTTGTTCACAAAATATTTCAAAGATTTGGATGTTTTGACCAAATTTAACACATCCAAAATTACAGATGATACAAAGCTAAGCAGGAATTTGTGTTGTGAGGAAGATGAAAATGTTTTCATGAGGATTTGGACAGCTTAGTGATTGGACAAGAATAAGACAGACTTAATATAATGTGGAAAAACATGAGGTTATCCATTTTGTTAGGAAGTGCAGATGTGCTGAATATTTCTTAAATGATGAGTGGGTTAAAAAATGCAGATATGCAAAAGGAGCTGGGTGCCCTTGCCAATAAGTCACTGAATGCTAACAAGCAAATGTGCAAGTTACTAGGAAGGCTTCTGGAATTTTAATCTTTAACACAAGAAGGTTTGAGTACAGGAGTAGTGAAGTATTGTTAAAATTGAATAGGAGCTTGCTTACACTGCACCAGGAGCATTGTATGCAGATTTGATTTCCTTATCTCCGTAAAGATGTTATTAGTTACATCTACTTCTCAGATGGTGTGAACCTTCTATGAAGAGGTTTGGCAAATTGACAACAATTGCTAGAGTTTCGAAGAATGTGATGTTATCTCATTGAGACCTAAAAAGTACTTCAAGGGATAGACAGAGTAATGCAGGTAGGGTGTTTCCTTTGGTTGGGGAATCTAGAAACAGGGGTACAATTTAACATTTAGGACTGAGTCGAGAAGAATTTTTTTGACTCAGAAGGTTGTGAATCTTTAGAATTCTCTCCCCCAGAGGGCTGTGGAAGCTCATTCTTTGAGTATATTTAAAATAGATGTTGATAAGTCTTTATCAGTGGTATAAAGGATTATGGGGATAGTGAGAATAAAAGACATTGAAGTGTTTGATCAGCCTATAGAACAGGCTTGTTAGGCTGAAAGGCCTCTTCTGTTCCTATGACCTAAATTTATCTAGTTTAGTTTATCTACTGTGTTTAATTATATGCAGGCAGGGGCATTAATTTGTAGAATCTGAAGGAAGCAAGAGATGGAGAAGGAGGTTGCTTGATCAGGATCAATGATAAAGTTGTTGTTAATTTATTTCCCATTAGGCTCAGTCACTTATTCTTTGCTACTGAACAATGCATTAAGGGGAAAAATAAAATCATGCCTCTCATTTAGCTGAATGTTATACGCTTTAGCAGAAACAGAAATGGTACTACTGGTTTCTTTCTTTAGCACATTGAAGGAAGCTAAGGCAAGAATCAGCAAAGTGTAGTAACCTTTATCTAGTGTAACATCCTTCAGTTGAACCCATCAAAGTTCAATCATTCTCGGATTGTTTTGCAACTCTAAACACACTTACAGTAAAATATTATCGTTTTTCTTGAACTCCCATATAAGAGGCTTATGGGATTAGAATCACTGTCAAAGTTGGGAGAAAACATAGGCAAGTTTTGTTGAATAGATGTTTCTATGGTAACATTCAACGTTGTCTCTAGGAGATACTCTACAGCCCTAACATTTTCTGATCTCTATTTCTTTGGAGATGCTTAGCAATCATATGGAGATAATGTTTAATAGGGACTTCACTGATTTCAGTGCATTTGCTGGTATGCTAATTCATAGTATGTGGTGATGTAAGGATTAAATGTGAGGTGTAGCTACCTCTCACTATGACCCTTCAGCTATTCCTCTCCTTCATGTTTAGAACACAGGCAGGGACACACTGATTTTGTAGGTGCTGAAGTAACAAGAATCCGCAATTGGTTGTTATCAAACTCTTGTTCACAGTTGTCAAGTGTCACCTTAATCTCCAGAGCTTTTCATGCACAGAATGGAGGGTAATCACATTCTTCAGCCATGGGGGTGGGGTGGAGGAAAGGGGCAGACAAAGACTTAAAAATGAGTGACAGAAAGGAAGATTTTGAGTAATTCTTACTATTTTTGGAACATTGCACATACTCACACTAAAAATGAAAAATCAAAATGACTCACCATTTTCTCTTTGATTTTGAGATATTGAAATATCCCCATGGAAAGTTAAAGCAATTTACTTTTCTTTTCGAGAAAGTCACAGGTCTAATTTGTGTGTAAAAATCTCATAAGTGTTGACTGTTCATCCAACTTGCAGATTCCACCAAGGTACTGGGTGAAGTATGCTTTGCCTGAATGGAGTATAAATGACAGCACATTAAAAATTAACTTCCCTGTTGTACCTCACAAAGGTGCATTGAATAAAATACAGTTGTGAGTGACACACGCACGCTACTCCTGAACCTCTCGTGGAGAAAAATAGAAAATGCTGAAACCTGTAGCTGGCCACACCACAGTAAAATATAAATTTGTGGTACATAGGAACATAGAAACAGAGGCAAGATGTTCAGTCTGCTCTAGCTTTCAATCAGACTTGGAATTAATCAGCACATTAACTCCATCGGTCTGTATTTGAAACATAGGGTGGGATTTTCCCATCTTTTAGTCAATGTGATTTGTTAAGCAAAAGTCATGGCTGGTGCCCAGTCCTAGCTAGCCAAGTGCCAGTTCTGCCATGTAATCTTCCACTTTTCATTTTATTAAATATGCAACTAGCATTTGGGTACCTTTCTTGGCAAATCACGTGGCCAGAGAGGTTAAAGAACTTGCCACTGCTGGTACCATATGACATACACACTGAAATAACTCCACAGAGACCAATATTGTGTCACCAAGTCAGCTTTTATTTACACATGCATAGTACTTGACACTGGTCTGGCTTCTTCAGAGCCAGCTATCAAAGTGAACAGGATGTCTGACATTCCTATTTATATCTGTCAGCCAGGACTTCCTGATTGGACCAGATTAACAGTCCCAATCAGGAAACTCACATTCTATGAAAGTCACCTTGCTGACCTCATTACAATCATTCCACACACCTCTATCACTATATTTAAAGCCCAGCTGTAAACCATTTCACATGCTACAAGCCAGAAACCACATTATGGTGTTTAAGCCTCAATATTGAAGATGTGGCCCTGCAAAAACTTGTGAACACAGTTCAGTCCATCACACAAGCCAATCTATTGATTCCATCTACACTTCCCTCTGCCTCAGAAAGGCAGCCAACAGCACTTAAGACCCCTCCGATCCTATCTACAATCTCTAACAACCTTTTCCATTGGGCAGAATATATATAAGCTTAACCACAAGTACCAACAGGTTCAAGAACAGCTTCTTCCCTGCTTTTATTAGACTTCTGAATGTACCTTTCAAATTTCAAATGCAATGTTGATCTTGCTTTTTTTGCACCTTCTTTGCAGCCGTAACCTTGTATTCCTCACTCTGTTCTATCACCCTATGAACTTTGTCTGGTATGACCTGTTTGCACCGCATACAAAATAAAACTTTTCACTGCACCTGGTACTTGTGATAATAACAACTCAAATCAAAAAAGATAAGCTCACTTTGTTGCTTGGGGCCTGGCAGATTGGTGGAGTGGTGGAGAGGAGGTCAGGCATTTTTCCTGCCATAGGACGCCTCACATGCAGACTAAGCCATTTTGGACTTAAATTGCAGCCCAGGGCAGTGCCATGTCTCAAGTTAAAAAAAGACATCAGGGTGTGCAGGAAGAAGGTCAGTCATCCTCTACACCCCACAAGGGTAAGTGCGAACATTTCCTCTCTGCTACCTCACTCTGACAAAACCCATCACTGACTCTAACCCTGTTACTGCATGCTCCTTTCACCAAGATTCATGAACTATAGTTGCCACTATTGCATGCATCATGTCCACTCAATGTTCTCACCCAAACTACTCACATCTTCTGCCTACTGCACCTGGGGGCATCTCACCACCTCTCTTGCTCCTGCATCACCATTCACTGTTTTTTCAATCACTTCCATTGCACTCAAATTGCTCCCTTTGTCCCATTGCAGGAAAGATCAGCCCACCCCAGAAATTAAGTCTCCACAGCATTCCAACTGACTTAGCTGTAACCACTAGACTGGTTGCACTTGACCTGCAGGACTGTCTGTGGCTGAAAGCCTAGATTGCGAGGATGCAGATCCTACAACTCTGGTAGGATCAAACGCATGACCAGCCATCACCAATGCCCTGGACTGGAATCAGCCCAGCCCCTTGACTGACTGTGGCAGTACCCCTCTTGACCATAGACCCTCTTCACTCCACTAAAGATTACTTTCTTTTGACTTTCACAAATTCTCATTTTCTTGACGCAGATACAGTACGTTTGCCACATTAAGCTGTTGGCATGTGCTACAGTTGTAATGTTGATGTAGCACAGTGTTGCACAGTGATATGTCCATCTCCCTGACTGATCGGTTTTCCCCACCATCACAAGCTGCCTACCTCTCCCTCTACACTGAAGAGCAATGCAATCTACAGTGGCTGGTAGCCTGCAACTCAGCACTGAAACCAGTGAGTGTGTTCTAAGAAACCAATTTGAAGTACCAAGAGAAGTCTTAAAATAACTGCAAAAGAAAATAATGTGAGTCGCAATAAGATGCATTCTAATGACATGCATGTATGTCCCTGTGCACAAAATGAACTGGCAAAAACATGTAAATCATAGGGGGCTCTAGAGCTCCAAAGTAAGGTGGTAAAGGATGAAGGCATTGTATCAGATCTGCAACAGTCACTGGAGTAATCAGCAGGATCTCGTCTTACATCCCCAGGACTGGCACTGTACTCCGGTGAATATGCACTCCATCATTAGGGCAGAGAGCAGGTACTGAACTGACATGGACAAGACTCAAAAAATATGATGAGGATTTGGTTGGTAGGCTGAAATGAATGGGCAAAATGCGAGAGTCAAAGCTGTGCATTAAGTCAGACACCACAGCAGATGTTAGCGAAAGAAGTCAGTTTAAGTTGTGTTGGTCAGGAAGCTAAGACCATGCAGGAGGGCTAGCTAATGTGTGAAGAAAGGCATGAAAGATGTTTTGGGAGAGAAGTCAGAAGGTGAAGTTTAAAATAAGATTTATTAAGGAAAGGCCACATAAGAAGACATGAAATGCGTTTAGAGTGTACACACAAGACATTTCTATTCCCTCCTTTCTAATATTTCCAAGAAGGCAGTCAGGAAAGAAACATTAAGTGTAGAGATGTAAAGTTAATAAATAAACACGTAAGTTCTATGGAAATGTGTTTAAAAAAAAGAGGAAATTTAAAATTAAAGGAAATGTTAGTTAATAGCTAAAGGAGCAGGTACAAATAGACTTCATGGGATCACTCTCTTTGAGTTGAGGAAAGATGTACTAATTAGTAATTGTTGATTAATTTACAGGGTGGATGGAAGCCTGTCTCACAAAAGACTGTATAATTGTTGGTCAAATATGATAAAGGAGGTTATCCCGAGATGGGGAAAGCCATTACAGTCGGTTTTGGTCAGGGAACACATTTAACAGGGCCAGTGATTAAGGAAGAAAATTCTCATGTTCTGTGCCAGCTGCAGAGCTCAGGTATGGTTGAGTGAATGAACAGGATGTTACAAGTAGCATTTGCTAAAGTCATCCAGGCGGCAGGGCAGGGAAGGGCAGATTTGTTGTCTCATATCCTGATGGGACTCAGGGCAACCCTCAGTAGAGTGACCAGATAAACTTAATGAGTTAAAACATGAATGCAATGAGATTGCTAGGGGATTTTGAGACTGGTAACCAGGAAGTAGGATCCTAAAATAGAGAGCTAAATGATTTTTTAGAGAGATGTGTGAGCAGCTGCACAGACCAAGACAGGAAGTTAAGGACTAGCAGATCACACACAACACGGTAATAGAGGCGGAACAGAACAGGCTGAGGTACTGAGTGTATTAAATAAGGTCACAGTAAAGGTTGCACCGGAGGAATTGGATTTGCACCAAAATGGGAAGGACCTTATGAGGTGATCACAATTAACAAACTGTGCGCTGTGCATAGACACAAAAGGGAAAGATCATTGGAAGCATTGGTCATGGTTAAAGGGGTGGGGGATCCAGTGGTGAGTTTAATTGGCATTCAACAAAACATTAGCTCCCAGGAGTAAAAAATGGCTTCAAATTCCGACCACCAACTCATCTTATGGACAAATGGATATATCCTACTTTCCTTGACAAGGGCCTTGGTGGTTTTGGCTGTGAAAACATCAAACTACGATGTCACCAATAATTGCAATAAAAGCAATGAGAAAGAGAAAGATACTGAAGCACAAATAATTGACCCACCTTACCCAGCTTTGAACCCAGGACCAGGAAAAGGACTAATGTTGGTAAAGGATGTTGAACTTTCATATGATAATTTATACAATGAGCTGGTACCTGTTGTTCTAAACATCTCCAATATTGCTCTACCTGAGTGATATTCAGTTCAGACTTGAGCATTGTATACAACTTATTCAAAACTGTGACAGTACAGGCAGCTTGCTTTAATGGTGGAGGCTGACCAATGGCTGCACCCCCAGATTCCAGAAAAAGATGAACTGAAACACTGCCTAGTCAATGATGTTGCTACAGCATCTAACTCAGGAGTAAATTCAATTGGTTTGGCAATGGTGCAACAGAAGTTTCAGATATTAAGCTCTCAACTGAATGAATTTCTGAAAAAAAAGGTACAAGGATCCAGGAGAGAAAGCTCAGTACAGACAAAGGCCTGACATGCTAATTCTCTGAGCTTGGCCTCTGTACTGGAGTCATGTCTGGGCCATTAATAAATTGTTCAATATGCAGAAAATTCACTTAAATGATGCAGTCATGAAAGATGTCTACACACAAATGGATGAAGGAAAATGTGATACAAGTACATGAAGGTGAGATACCTCTGTGGAGAACAAATGCACACTCATTTAACCTGTCACAGAACAGGGAAAATAGCTGCCAGTTCAGGCATTTAGCATACGACGTGGAATGGTTTTACGTATAATATGCTAATTGGAATTGTGCTAACAATCCCAGGAAAACCAGTATTAAGACCCATTAAGACATGTTATAGAGAATATTGGCTGAGTGGTATTATTTCTGAACTGTTACATTTGGAGACCAAAATAAAGTTCTGGGGACCAGTGTTCAAATCCCACCACCTGGTATCCCATTAGTCAGAACCTGTCAATGTCAGAATGACCCATTTATTCCTACTCAGTTTTCTGTCTTTAAGCCAATTGACCAGTTTATTTTGGGATTATGGTAGGCATGGACTGGCTG